TTCATAACAGCCAGATCATCTGTATCGATGAAGTTCCATCTATCAAATATCGCAACAGCCCTTCGTCTTCCCCTACTACCCGGGGGGGGGGGGGGGGCGGGCAGGGCATCATAGTGGACGCATATCCAAAAGATCACCCAGAAGAATGATTCGAGATCATGCATGAATGAATGCATTTCGCCCATGAGTGCGCCGATGGCCATGAAGGGTCTGGTTCCGGTCTTACTACCGTGTGCCACTGGGGCGGCACTATCCTTTTGCTCTCTGATGGCGAGATCAAGGTCGATTAGGAAAGCTGGCCAGGATGGGTTGTTGTTCTTGTTTTCGTTGATCATGAGATTATGGGGTGAGATATCTCGGTGAAGGATCCCTGTCTCGTATAGAGATTGGTGTCCTGTTATGCATCCCTCTAATGCGGCAAGAAGGATTGAAGGGGTGCTTGCAGTGTAGATTGGCTTGCCGTAATCGCGCAGGATGACACGGCGGTGGATACGGTTTGGTAGCTTTTTGGATGTATCGTTAGGTGATGATAGGCGTGGGCGTTTGCTAGGCGGCAAGAAGGCACTGTCTTGGCTGGAGGGTCGCTCGTTGTCTGGTCTATCGGTGCGCCAACCCTCATGCTGGGCATCAGCTACACTGGCACCGGCCGAGGGTGCTTCTGCTTGCTCTGAGTGATGACGGGTAGTCGCAGTCCTGATATCTAAGCCACTTCGAGTATTATGGCGAACATCATCTACTTTACCACGAATGCAAACAGTGCTATGATGATAGTACCGTGCGACGTTGACCACCCCGGCGGTGGTAGCTTCTTGAAGAAGACTGCCTTCCTCGTCGTGCTCTGTGTCTTGCCAGGAATCTTTAACAACGAGTGGAATCCCGGGGTCATCTTCACGATACGCTTTCCAGCATGTTGTTGCGCGACCCGCGATACAGGGTGTCCGTTTTATGAATCCTTCGAGGAAGAGGCGCTGGACCTGACCATCCTGCTCTATCTCAGTGAAACGCCGGCCATCTTCTTTTGTGATGATCGTAGGGTCAAACCCGTATTGCTCATCGCTCATCCATAGGAAGCCGAGAATGATGGACACAAATTGAAGACCAACCGTATTGATATCGAATCAATCCGATGCAACTCCTCCGAGACGATCAAAGGCCCATATCCTCATGAAGGATCCACATATGGTAAAACCCAAGACAAACCGACGGGTATCCTGGGCAGCAAGGACTTCTCTAGCGCACCTCCCCAGATCAAGCCATGTCTTCGCAGCGGTATCGGCTGCTGAGTTGCTCTTCAACACTCCAGGTACGAGGATTTCCGCCCAGAGGCACTTGGTATCCTTTCCTGCATTGATGTCGCTGACGAAGCCAATGTCCAGCTTGCGCTCTGGCGTAGAGCCTTGAATTGGCCTATTGGGCCGGGCTACTGGCCTTCGTAGCTGTGCAGACTCGAGACGGTAGTCTTCTGAAAGGCCAGCAAGTTTATCAGTCAGATCTGAAAACCAAGTCAAGACGTCTTCCTGGTTTGCATTTTCTGGCCAGCCCTCCCACCTACCAGCAACAAAAAGCGCATTTTTGCCTTCCCTACATCTTTTGGAATACGACCCGGGACGCTTCTTGCAGACCACTTTCGCATCCAAAAAACGCGGCGTGAAATTGCGGGATCCCAACATACAGAGGTCCAATCTCAGCATGAAGAAGTTGATCAATATATTGGCGGTGCTCGGAGGCTGTTGCAAAGCTACTTGTATTGTGGACCCGTTGGATTTGTTGGGAAGATGCATGGGTGTATTCAGTTACTATGTCATCGATACATTCCCAGATGTCGTGTCCTGGCGTGCAAGCAATAGCTGAAGCCAATATAGGCCTTACGCGGGAGATGTTAAACCCTTCGGACGGTATTGTAGACTCCAATTTCTGAATATTGACCAGGGCAGCGGTACGGCTATATCTGGGCGTTAACCCGCAAATCGCAGAGTGTTCTAGGTCCAGCAAGAGTTGAAGGGTGAGGTTTTGGATATCTGTGTGGAATTTAGAAAAAGAAATTGGGAGGTAATCAGGAAACACATTTCTTTACCCGTTCGCGGAAGATGTATGAGCGCATCAGACGTGCAGGAGAGATCGTTTGCTTCACAGATAGAACTGAACAGTCTGGTGAAGTTCCTATTAAGAGCATTATGCATGGTACTCTCGTCTATCGTTTTGACTGGGGCGTGGTCAGCCATGTTAGAACAGATCCTGATACTGTAGGTCTTTTCCCAAAGGGGAGAATGCTGCTAGATGCGGGCGCTGGTGAGTAACATTTATATATTGTACTCCGTGTTGTTGCATGTCCTACGATCCACAGAATATAACAACTGTTTAGACATATCTCTCCGCCTGCTCTTCTGATATTCTTGGTATTCTCTGAAGAATTTTGAGAAGAAGGTGGAAGTGAGAGGCCATGTGGGCAGCAGAAGTGACTTTGAATAGTCATGCTGGTGACATTCACTGTAGCCATGCTTACCATCTTAATCCGCTTCTATTCAATTAAATTCTGGTTCGATTCAATGAGCCAAGCTAGTATAGTATAGTGCCGTATATGAGACACTAGATATATCTAGCGAAGGGATCCCGACTATAGATATGGGTGGTAGTGAGTGTAATAATACATAGAGGCAGGATATTTGAGGGGTTTCAGGGGTTCTACTAGGGGTTTGGTCGATCCAAGTACTTACGAATTAAATAGCTAGGAGACATTACATAGTAGGAACTACATATTAAAGATCTCTTCTGTCAGAGAAAGTCCTATTGTGTCAAGTAACAGTGAGTCTAGTAAAGGATTCGAGCAGCGCTGACCATAGAGGATCGCACCATACTCAGGAAGAGGAAGACTCGCTCCCCTCTCTATAAACCCTTTTCGGCTTCCCAGGTATCAACATATAGCTGTGATTGCCCATCTTGACCATCCGCGACAAAATACGCGCCTGCTGCACACCCGTAGACGTTGCAATAAGATCGAGTATCTGCATGATCCAATCCTTCGTGAGAGGCGATATACCCGCGCAGTCCGATGCAAGATACAAAGGCCATGGCAATCGAGCGACGGCCCCCAGGGCAGCGTCGCCTGAAGTAAAAAAATAAGGAACACTAGCGCAGATGTCCTCTGCCAGTTGTTTATTGATGGAGATAGACTCGTGCATGAGTTGGGGTGATTCAGGAATCTCTTGATGAAGACACATCGCTTGGATCATCTCGTGGAGAATGATCCGCGCTTGGCGATAGTGGTTCCAGTACACTGCGTTGTCGATGTTTGGATATATGTGATATTCTGTGTCGTGGCTACAGAAGTGTGAAAATGTCAGTGGGGTGTTGATGGTTGTATATTGCCAGGTTGGGCTTAGGGAAGTCGCCCACGAGACTAGGTCGGCGTCAAGGTCGAGGGCTGCTTGGATTAAAGGTGCGATGTTTCCGCGGAAGCCAGTCGTGTTATATGCCTCCTTTATTGTTATGGAGAGATCGTTGTATGTGACTAAGATGTTGTAAAAGTCTTCCATTGTCTGAGAATCCGCATCACCAATGGATTTTGCATATTCTGATAATGCAGCTATCGTTGGCGAGCGATGACAACTCGTTCTGAAGAATATGTTGATCATAGCCTAGGTATGACATGTTAACACTCCGAGATTAGTGCCTATGATATGAATGAGGGATAGCTAACAATCTGTAGGCGTGTGCTGGCGAAGAGGCGCCGCCCAGCGGCTGATTCGAATTGCTGCATTCCTCGTAGCTCAAGGAGCTTCAACGCTCCTCGGGCGTGATTTAGCCAAGCGTCCATCATCTGTGATTGGCCTGAAATAATCTATTAATTAGGGATTAACAACCCACCTATAAGCACCGATTTTAGCCAGACACATTACCTCGTACATACTCAGCGTGACCACAGCCCCCAAAGTAGAGTCCGAAGTAGCTAGTACTGCATCCTGAAGACTCGTATTGGTGGCCCGCAAGGCCTTACTGTACTCCTCTGCAGCCGATCGTGCCAGTTCAGGCCGGTGGTAGATTCTCGACATGCATGCCAGCCCTATGGCTTTCATGGTGGCTTGAAGTGCATCCGAGGGGTCAGTGCGCAGCAAATTCGGCAAATAGCAGAGAATGCCGGGGTTTTGACTAGTGCCGACATAATACTTGAAGATGTGAGACATGGCTTGTTCCTGAATGTGGGTGGTGGGCCCCTCGATCAATGGCGGTGTCTTCGAACTTTCTGCACTGTCTGCAGTGGGAGATCGAGAGGCCTTGCGGGTACTGGCAGCCCGGGCCAAGGCCTTGGTGGTTACAGCGGCCGTCTGATCAAAGAAGCGAAGGGCTTGGAGGTCTTGGTATCCGGGGCATTCTTTACCTATCCGCAGACATTGGGAGCATGCAGGTCGCTCCTGGTCGCACTACTATAGGGTCAACAGTCAATCATCCAGGCGTGAAAGTGCATCGACGTACTTTTAGGCGCCGCTTCCGGCATAAAGCACACCCTGGACTGGGCTTTCCCCTGTAAACCATGGTCGCCTGAAAGGGGTATGTGGCTCGGAAGGTGTAGCAAACCTTTGAAATTATCCCCGCTTTAAAGGCCCATGCTGAGTTGTCGGGGTCGGAGCTTGTTACGAAAAGGAGACTAGAAGCAGAGCAGTCCCGTCTTCAGCCTCGCTTCAGCCGCGTGGCATCAATCCTAGATCGGTTCCACCGAGCCTCCATAGCTGAACGAAGCACATACTCCAATCAAATAGCCACTCATAGGTGTCAGATTGAGCTTAGCAATGTTGGTGTCAGCTCGAAGAAGCTTGTTCCTGAACCCGTGAGAGGGGAGTCATGCTGTATCATGAGTGGCTCGTTAATTTATTCCGAAGAGCCTTGTTTATTAACTTAGATGATGTGGCTTCAACCGGCACTGGGGAGTGCTTACCGCCAAAGTGATGAGTCTCTCGCTTGTGACTGGCCACTCCACTTTTCCCTCTCATCGAGCTTGTCCTAATGCAGTAACCGGTTCGGTGCTTACGGTGTATCCTGTAATAGCGTTGAGGCCACAATGACCCTAGCTACTCTCCAACCGACATGTGTCTTTCTTAAGCACGAAACGTCTGCGATAGAAATTCATTCCGGCTATTCCTCTTGCCACGACTATTTCTAGGGCTAATGACCGTGTGTCATTATTCTGAGAGGCGCATCTTGATAGAGACCATTTGAAAGGATCTTTTGAAGTGCTATTGACTTCTTTAGCCCTCTGCTTGCTATGTCTGGAAGTTGATGTATACTAGTATAGAATTCCAAGGAGCGTCACTGGCAGTGAAGAAGCCCAGTAGGTAAGTAGTGATATACACTTTTACAACCCTATTATAGCTAGTCATACACACTATAGCATACACATTAAAAATTTTCCGCCCAATATAATTAACCAGTAAACACCCCTCAAATCTCTGCCACCGGAGTCCCAATCCCACCAGATGTGAGTACAGTGGAGGTAAGATTCGCACCTGCATGCAGCTTCGCAGTCAACTGCGCACTGTAGCGAGTATCCACCTCCTCGGGCCTGATCAACCTTACCCTCGCGACCGTCGCCTTCTGATCCGTATCACAGGTGCCATTGGCACAACAAGCGGGACTGTCATCCGTGCAGCCATTCTCATTGCAGCTGCATTCGCCCTTGACACTGTGGCTGTACAGCAACCACTGCACACATCCGCCCTTGTTGGTTCGAATGACCATTCCACCGCCGTACATGTCTGCGTGGTCGTCTCCGCATCCTGAGCTGATCTTTTGGAAGGTTTCCACGCACTGTGTGAGTATTTCATGTTAGCAAAATTGTTAATAGCAGAAAGGTGGAAGAGATAGTAAGTTCATCACTGAGAAAATGGAGTTGATATATACGTACTGAATCACCAGAAAATTTGAATGTCTTCTCGTCTTTGCAGCCTGATTGATCGTCTGCCCATTCGATAGACGCTACTACATTGGTTCCGTAGGGGTCGGAGTAGACGGTGGTGTATGGCGGGCCGTCGGGGGCGAGGGAGTTGCCCGAGTCGCATAGGGAGGTTGCTACGGATTTAAGTTCCTCTGCGTCGAACGTAGCGTATGAGCTGTCGTGATGATCTTTAAAGCAGTAATACTTTCGCGTATCCGACTCGCCGCTGGTGGATAGGGGTAGTGATGTTGTATGGGAGGGTTCAGAAGTGGTGCTGGAAGAGGAGGAGGTTGTGCTGGTAGTACTAGTAGTTGTTGTTGGAGGCTCTGTTGTTGATGCCTCACTGCTGGCAGTGTATTTATTATCCGTACCAAGAGTTGGAACTGGTCCGTTAGGATCCCAAGTCCCCACTGTGCGTACATACGTAGACAATGGACATAGATTTGTCGTCGTTTCCGTAGTGGTTGTTGTGCCCTGGGCCTCGCATCCTAGAACAGTCGAACATTGCGTAGTGAAGCATGTTGTCGCGCGTGATGTGTCACCGTAGTTCGTGACGGAGCATCCCACTGCACAGTCGGTGATGGTTGTGCTTGTTGTACAGCTGGTAGGGCTTGGAGTAGTGGATGGACTCGTATCTGTACCTCCGACACAAATGCCTTCAGGGTCGAAGCACTCGCAGCCATTGCCACTGCAGCTGCTGCAGCCGCCAGGATCCGTACAGCCACAGCTTTCCCCGAAACAACCGCATGTAAGGCCAGTACAACCACTGCATCCGGCTGAGGAGCAGGTACAGAATAGAGCTGAAAGACCGGAGCAGCCGCATCCAAGTCCGAGACATGCCGTGCAGTGTGCGCCCTTGCAGCCACAGTGTCCGTTGGAGCAGGCGCAGTCTGTTCCCACGCAGGCACTACACTGCGAACCGGTGCATTGACCAGAACTTGTATCACAGTCTCTTCCAGTGCAGCTTCGACAATCGTCTCCGACACACCGTCCAGAATGGCAATCCTTCCCTGTGCATCCATTACAGTCGTTGCCAGTGCACTTGCCATTTGTTGCAATCTTGACCCGCACAACTACTGCAGCTATCGCCTGAGCAATTGCTCCCTCCAGCAGTAGAGCAATCACTGCCCGTGAAACCGTCATAGCTAGTACAAGTGTTGCCTGCGCAGAAACCTGATGCACAGTCGGCACCACCGCAAGTTCCCTCCCAGCAGTTCGGACCGTTACAAACGCCGTCACTACCACAGTCAGGTCCAGAACAGCCCAAGGCAATGCAGTTGTCTCCGTTACACTTGCCATTACTGCCACAGTCAGGGCCCACACAGCCGGATGTCACGCAGCCTGTGGCGACGCAGACTCCGTCTTTACATCCTGGACCGATGCACCCACGGACGGTACAATCCGTTGGGCCTGTGCACATGCCGTTGAGACAGCCAGTCCCACTGCAGCCGAATGAGGCACACATGAGTCCTGTGCATTCCCCATTTTTGCAATCAGGTCCCTCACAATGACCATTTGTGACGACTGGCCACGTCTGGTCTGGATGAACTTGTCGTGCTGCTGCCAGTTCCACTCCCGCCGCCGCCTGCGCTTCCACCGTTAGGACACCACGCGGGCGGGGATGGGCAGTACTGACCGGCACCTCCACCGGCAGTGGGAGAAGGTGCCACGACACATGTTCCAGTGGGGGATTCCAAATCCCCGTTGAAAGCACTAACACACCACTCATAGTTCCAAGTGCCCGGGAACAGGAAATACTGATCACTACAGGTGGTCTCCACCGTCGCATTCTGTGCCGTTAACACGCTGCCAGGGTCGTTGACGTTTCGCGACCACAAGCGGTATCCTGCCGCGTCGGCCGACTTGCTCCAGGTCATATGGATGGTGGTCGGGTCATTCGCCACGATCGTAAGATCAGTGGGCGTAGAAGGCGTGCCAGCACCAGGAACTACGCCCGTGACCACTTCGGGGAAACCTTCGCCTGCTGCATTCCAAGTCTCAATAGCCAAAAAGTAGTAATGGCCTGGCGTGAGGTTGTCGATGTGCCCGGAGGTGCCCGTGAAAGCGCCCCCAGTGATGTAAGAACAGTCCTCTGATTTGTCCCAGTAGAGCACATTGTATTCGATGATCGAGTCTGTGTAAGCTCCTGTTGGAGGATCCCAGGAGATGTCGAACCCGCTGCTGGTGGGTTTGACCACCACGTTACGAGGAGCGGCCGCTGTCTGCGGATGTGCCGTCGCGGACAGGACCGAGGTCCAGTCGCCCTTAATGTTGTCACCCGCACTGGCACGGACTTTGACTTCGTAGACCCAGCCGTCTTCTGGCCAAGTTGAATCCCAACGAGCTGCACTAACACTTCCTGCCGAGAAGTCGGTGATGCCGCCTTGAATTCGCGACGAGACATCGTAGCTATATGCTCCGTATACTACCGACGTGGGAAAAACCATCAGTTACTCAACGGTCAGATCGGCTTGGAGGGGAATACTTACTTACCAGAGTCCCATGTCGCCGTGACTCCCGTAGCACTGCTGAACACCTGGAAGTTGGACGGCACGGGGAGAGGTCTTGCGGGGATGCTATCCGGAACAGATAATGGCGAGCTTCCAATCTTGAAATCATTCACCAAAGTGAGACTGAAAGCGCGAGCTATCTGGTATTCGCCCGCGGCATCTGGATGAAGCCCGTCATAGCCCACGGGGCACGCACTCGGCTCACACTCGTAGTTCTCTTGCAGCTCCACCAGGTGAATGGGGGAATCCGTCGTACTCCATTCCGGGATCGCGTCCCGCAGTAGCGCATTGTAGATATTGGTACTGATGGGCAGATCCTCGCGGCCCCCAATAAAACTGCGCTGTGGGACATTGGCGACGGCGAACTTTAGATTCGGATTGACGGTGCGGGCATTGCTGATCAGGGTTTGGATGCTGTCCAGGGTGCCAGGGGCATCACTATAGAACCAACCCATGTCATTGAACCCCAGCATCAACAGCATCAAGTCAGCTGGATTGGCACCGAGGACATCACGAATCAAGCCCTTGTCGACAGCCGCCGCACGGCCCCAGACGGCGAAATGATGGCGATCGAAGTCGGCCGCCACGTCCGCCGCGTACCCGCCGCTGGTCTTGGGCTGGTCGGAGGCGGTCTCTTCCCCGTAGAGCGGCGGCGGAGTGGGCGGTTCGGCAGGATCCGGCTGCACGGTCCCTGTGTAGGGCCCCACAAAGGTGACGGCAATGTCTTGCGCCCGGAACCACTCCCAGATCCGATACCTCCACGTGTAGTCCCCTTCCTTCCCCTGGGTCATTGAGTCCCCTACGATCATTACTCGCAGGGTGCCTTCGTCTCTTCCGACAAGTCCCTGAACCCTGTCTGCCACGTTCGAGTCTGGTTCTGTCTTGATCGAGTTCCTACTCATCGCAGTCATCATGTCCAGAATGTCTTGCTCCCCTTTCCCATCGTTGGTCTGCATGGGGGGCATCGGACTGGCAACCTGTGTCCAGGTTTCGTAGTCCCGGATATAGTTGTGGGCAGAGGAATAGGAGGGACGCTTGCTAACTGAGATAGCTGAGCGGACACGCGGGATTCGACTACGACGATCAGAGGAGTATGCTATCGTCTGTGTAGTCGTAGGTGTGGTGGCACTGATCGCAGTACTGGTACCGCCACTAGTGGACACACCAGCACGTGAGAGCAGTCGCCATGGAAAAGAGTGTACAAGAGTGCGAGATACACACAAAGATAGTGAATTACTCCACGGTGTCCCGGGGTTGAAGGCCACAAGGACTGGCTACTCATGGAGCCAGACATCGTGAATTTTCGGTTTCCTTCTTTTGTGATGGAGCTCAATTGTGTAGACGGCGGCGATGCTCGACCCTTATGTATTCAGCAGTGTTCGTCCGAAATCAGTCTAAGAGTAAGCTAAGTGACAGCGGCGCAGGCCGAGACTGATACGCACCTCATATTTGACCGTGTAGTCACACATTTTAATTAAATTTCTGGTCAATTGCGATAATGAGTGTCTCACATTCCAGCCAATCCACGTTTGGCAAAAGCTTGATATCTCAGGCCCGAGCGTCAGTGATCCCGCCGGAGCGACATATACCACCAGCTTTGATGTGTTTGCCAAGAGTCACTAGCCTGACCCTTCAGAGAATCATACTTAATCCCGCTAGGAGCCTACTAAGATCTTTCAACCCAGGACCCTTTTCAATCCCCCAACTAAGAAAAGGTCAGCGCTAACTTTCTCTACGGTCATGGTGTCCCTGACTTTCGAAAGCCTTCCGGTGGAGTTGGTCGAAGAAGTTGTTAGTTGGCTAGACCTCCACGATCTCTGTGCACTGCGTCTGACTGGACGCACTGTCTCTTCAAAATCATCCAATGCTACCTTTCGGAACTATTTCCTTTCCAAGAAGTTGGAAATCGCAGAAGCCCCGCTTGGAAACTTTGCTCTCGTTACCAAACCCGGACGTTTCGGCCTCTGGATCCAGCATCTCACTCTGTATGCAATCACTAAAGATGATGATACCGGAGGAATATCCCTCGCCAGTCCTAGGGTCATCGAGTTACTAGCGCAAGGCTTCCTGAACATACGCGATAATTCCCCGCATGGTGGACCCTTGTCTATCACTCTCAAGATATTTGGGGACGGCTATATGAGGGATTTTGCTGCTCCAGTGTTCAATGTGACCCTGTCAGCCCTGAGGGGTACTGGACTGCCCATTAGATCATTGGATGCGTTTGCGGAAGGTTATTCCCACAACTACGGGGGTTTCTGTAGTATCCCTTTCAGCGAGATCACAGGGGCATTTTCCGGCGCCGGCGCGGCAGACCTACACGGCCTTGCGAAGACCTTCCAGCCGTGCACGAAATTATGCCTAAGCTTGGCGCACCATATACATACAAACGACTCCAATAGTATCCGAGAGCTACATAACGACAATGAAGACGAAGATCTGGAATTGCCACCGAGTTACGAGGAAGCCAGAGTAAATACCCAGAAACTTTGTGACCTTGTGGGCCTATGCCCCACTCTCGAAGAGCTGTATTTGGTGTGGGAGTATGATGACTTCGAAGAGACAGCCGGGGTCAGGGAAGAATTGTACTTCTTCTCTCGGTTAGCAGTATCATGCCAATTCCCGAGCTTGAGGCAGTGTACATTGCACAATATCCGAATGTCCGAGGAAGCGCTCCTAACCTTCTTTCGCCAACTTACTCGGCTGGTGTATTTGAGGTTGGAATATGTAACCGTTGAAGGTGGATTCGACGACCTATTCAGACTTTTGTCTACTTCAATGCCCGAATTGAATTACTTGCATCTCCGAGGCCTTTATTCTTCGTCTGGGACCCTTCGCTTCTTGAACGAACACCCCGAGAATAGACTGAGGCATCCAACCGGTCGTGCACCACCTGGTATAATTCGGAGAGGGTCCGACGCTAGGCGGCTGGTCGTAGCCAGGGCAAGGTAGAAGGACATAGATCCTCTATAGATACGAGGAGATGTGTACATTACCTCCAAGAAATAGTGGAATTGATCCTTCGCGTGTAATTAGAACTCCCTCTTCCAAGAAAAGAGAACAAGCACTAATACAGAAAGGGCATCAGGTTAGAGTCGTAATATGAAGCATGCTATCAACCAAATTCTCACCCCCCGCCCCTAGTCAGCAGCTAAACTAGTTGATGTAACTTCGGTTCCAATGAAGGTTTTGATGTACATGAGCCTGTTCCCCCTTTTTCTTTTCACTGTTTTGGAAAGGTCAATGGTGTGAGAAAGACTGATACCCCCACCGTATTTCAAGCCGACCCTTCCCCATGACTTACACCACAGTACAGAGTCTCATGCTTTACAAAGACCATGTTGCATCTTTTGAAGGGGCTACTTTGCCTCACGTTGGTGCCCTCGTGGGGACTTATTGGCGCTAAGGTACTCTCCACTGACGCCCCAGTCGATGATATCCGGGCTGTGCCATTTGGACTGGAGAACAACAAGAGCCGTGCTTGGTACCCTAGAGCGTAAGCGCCATACCATTTGAACTCAGTATCCACCCTTCTATATAGCTAATCACTCATGACTTAGCGATCCTCAGTGCGATGTCAACTAGGATGACGACCCTGATGTCCCCAAATGCCGGATCTTATGCGCCCCTACACAGAGTGATTGCTCAAATAGCCTTACCACACGCAATTATAGGATTCGTCTCAACCACACAGCAAGTGATGGTATCAATGATGACCGTGATCACATTGACACAGGACTCTATGATACCGAAAAGACGAGTCACAGTAAGCGAGCCTTTCAAGCCTTGACCCTTGCGGAGATACGCGAGTACGTTGAACGATAAACGGACCCGGATACAGCGGACGAATATTTTTGGCGAGTTACTTGGGCTCGTGGAATTCGATGATGATAACCTTTCAGTGGATTCCTCTGTCGCCGAGCAAATAACATTTAGAAATGCCCCTTTCCAAGTTGGCACGACTGGGCTCGAAGGGTGTACTGTGGTGACTGTTGTATCAAAGCGAGCCGTCTACATGGTAAGTATTCTTCAAATTGACATGGCTTCATGTTAGTGTGTGTTATAGTTTACCACTGGCTGACGAACTTCGTGGTAGGCGCACTACTGGGAACGCGAAAGTTGGTCTAGCTCGTACTGGTTCCCAAGACGCATCATCAACTTTATCGCTGGCCGGAATCCAAATCAGGGAGTTGGTCCTGCCCTCAACCCGGCACTATTCAACCGCCCTACCGACGACACGCGGATCTATATCATGCACCCCCGCAAGGGTGGCGCAAAGACGACGTACACTTCGCCAAATTACCCAAAGAAGTTTAAACGATTGAGAAGCTTGCTCAACGAAGAGCTTCTTCCCGGCGTACCCACAGCGACTTGGTTCTATATCCCTGTCGCCAACCCGGGAAACGTGCCCGATCCCATTGCTGATCAGCCATGGAGACGACACGCCGTCTTCCAATATGACCCGCGAGCGCATGGTACAAGAAGCAAAGGATGGAGGCTCTTCTACGAGGATCATTATTTCGATGATACAAATCCCCCTCCTGGTACTGACTCTGCCAATGGAATTCCGGATATCCCATGAGCAAGATCTGTCTACCCGCGAAGCGATGCTAGAGCCGCGCTGTGGGTGTGTGTACTTGACTATATACCACGGTGTAATGAACGGAATTGTCTTCATAGCTTCTATTAGCGAGTGGTAGAGTGTTTTACAATCTATATAAAAAGAAGCTGTGCCTCTTTCTGCTGTCTCAATCTTCCATTGTTGTAAAGCCATGTGATTCCTGTTGGGTAATTGAAGCATCCCCAATAAGGGTATTTTACCTAATATCTCTGACACCAGAAGACGAAAAGAGGCCTTCTCTGGACTTCTAATTTGCTCTGCGACGCCGTGTATTAGATTCCCGGATATATAAACCAACTAACACCGTCATCATAGCCATGTTGCTTTCCCTTTCCCTCAAACAAGCTGTAACCTTATCCGATTCGCTGGCCCTATTGTGGTTATCCTTAGGTTGCGTCCCAAAGGTCCACAATTTGACGACGCTGTTATTTTCTGGGTTATAGAGTCGCTTAACTGAGGCATCAGCAACGAACAAGAACTAGGGGTAGAGCTTGGTGATGTTGTAGCCTGTGTCTATGAGAAACATTGCGATCGACCAAAGAGCAATTTTCTCAGACGATCATAAGGAACAAAGTTATGTAGATGAAGTATTGGCATAAAATCTGAGGCGATCATCTTCAGGACCTTCACTCAAGGTCTTGTAGTTACTACATGCATTTTGCCTTCATGGAAGAAGATGCCGAGTAAAGCGGTAGTGATGCTACTGATCAGCGTAGTCAGATTTTATCATAGCAGTATCGCTGGAGGTTCTCGGCCATGAGACTTAGCCCATTCAAGTGTATTGGGGAGCACGGTACTTATTGTAAAATCTAACGTTGTCGAAGATAAGGTTAAGAGATAAATACGACTATAGAGCTCACTATACAAGAATACGACTCTATTGTATGGACTAATTATGAATAAGGAAGAAGATTATCTTGCTTGAAACCCCGGGACTTATCAAGATTCTGTAAATCATGAATAAATGATTCAGGACAAATAAGAAAGAGTTTGCTCACTTGTTGGCTAGCAATGATACCGAGGAGGCAGGCAGGACCTGTCATGATAATTTATCATCAGCTGTACATATTACTAGTTCGAAATAACATGAAGAACTACTGAGATCTGGGGGAATCAATTAGCATCAGTCCTGAACTATTTAGGGACTATGTAAGTGTACTACTGCTTTGGGAGCTAAGATACAACCATATTATGAGGCTTCCGGCAAAAAAAAAAAAAAGAAAAGAAAAGAAACGAAAAAGAGAGAGAAAGACTTCGCTTGTGATCTGCGAAGGTTTTGTTCCACTAAGCCGGACATAAAATATCGAAAGTACCAACGTGATAAAAGCACACAAACACAAACAGTGCTCTTATCAAAGCATCCGCCGTGGTTTTGTAAGCTGACAGGACCTGCAGTCAAGTCAAGCAGCCTTGGTGTATCCTGGACTAATAAATACAGCCAATCATCTAAGCTTCCGAACCACCCTCCCCACAAAGAAAAGAAAAGGAAAAGGAAAAAAAGCAAAGGATTATGCAGTTTTCTGTGCCAATATCTTGACAGGAGACCAGTTATATACCGTTCTCTTACGTTCAGCGCAAAGACTTTGCAGTTCCGCCTCATGCTTGGTCACAAGAGGTACAATCTCTTTCGCGCATGTCAGCTTGGTACCACGCAATATCTCACCGAGAGCAAGAAGATATGTGTCCGTGCATTTCTGGACAAGGAAGTTTTGGAATGATTCTGTCTTGGATTCCAGAACTTCCAGATGTGCTTCTTCCAGATCGCGAGGAAGTCTTGTTGCCCAGCTGCAATATTATCAATGAGCCTCATATATTTTCACACTGAAATTTACTAGGACAGATGAACGATGAGGGTAGGTCTTACCTGTAGTCCAACCCGACCTTCTGAAATAAACTTGGTATCCGTTGTGCAAACTCGAGGGCCTTGCGCCCTTGCACAGATTGATGAATGAGGTCAGCCTCCTCCCACTGGATGTAACCTCCTGGCTCTAGTATGTATAAGCTGAATACAAGGTAATTGTATCCAGTGATGGTAATACTCACTCAGCAACTGTTGTAAATGGGAAATCAGCGGCCCGGTGTTGCCATCTCGTATATTACTCGCCCACATCCGGACATGTACAACATCGTATTGCCCGACAAGTGTGGGAGGAACATCCTTGAAGGCGTCCAACAACGCTAGCTTGATGTTCCGTGGCCACATATGCTTCGGAGGATATTGATCTTCCGAGATATCGAAGCCATGAAGTTGCACGGTAGTTGGCATCGACGGGGCTAGGTCAAAGAGCCAGATCCTGTACTTTGTTAGTGTATATTCAAATGCTGATTTGGGCATGCAACGAAATCCAAACAGAATGGATCCATGCCCTCGAGTCAGAAAAAGACAATGAACTGCATTACCCATTGCCAGTGCCAATTTCCGCTATCTTCATGTCTGGAGTGATTGGAATGTGGGGGTGAAGTGTATATCCAGTATGGAGCTTCCATAGAAGGTGCTGAGCATCCAATCTAGAAATATGAATGAGCAGGAGACTACGATGTCAACACTAGCTCGCATTCTTACCGAACTGAATCCAACAGTCCTCTACCAAGAGGATATAAATCAGAGTCAACCATCGCCGTTGGAGTAAATAGTGTTTCTGGTAATCGATTTCTCTAATTGAGTATTGAACCTGAGCACACCAGAAACTGAAGATGGACGAACTGACCGGTATAAATGTCCACCGACATTCCTTCTATGCAAAGTTGGGATCTTCAACCAGGGAAGCACCGTCACGTGGGCCAACTTTACTCATGCCTTCTTCAAGTTCCATGCCGCGCTTGAAGAAATTGTAACCGCCCAATCATATACCGAGTTCCCTTGCGTGGATTTACGACAACGCCTTAGGGTACCCCTGCTTGAATGATCGACATTGAGTGTGAACTATCTACTCATCATTATCCGACATACCAGAAAAAAGGTTGGTCGGACTGGCGAAGTTTTCCCGTAACTAGCATTGTCCGTCTCTTCCGTGTGTCTCCAACCTGGATAACATCATGCTACGGCTCGATATAGAAGTACTTTTAACGTCGATCACAAGAAGGGTTAATTTATGCCATCAACAATCACCTCGACTACCCGGTGTACCACTCACCACACAGGAACGGATCGAAATCTACCGCTCCTAAGCCCTGGATCTAGGTTACACAGATCTCGAGCACCTTGCTGGCTGCAGTGAAATGGCCGTTACTACGTCTCTATGTCATTGTATATTCTAATGGTCGTACTTCCAGGCCAGTTTCCAACTACATCTAGCTACTTTACGTGTTCGTGATGTTCCGATCATCCTGTCCGATCTCTAGCAAAACTGCCTTTCCGTCAATCATGCCTGTGTCCTCAACATGGAAGTTTGAAGAAAATCATTTGGCCCAATAGAGTAAGTTGACGTCAATCAAGAGCATATTATATTCTTCCTCAGTTAAAGGAACTATGGAACTAGTATCAGCGATATGTCACACAACATTGGAATCCTGCTCGCTAGTGGCCTTTAATATGCGGTCTCGTTATATCTGAGCGGCGATCAGCCCGCAAACTTCCCCTAAAGTATTATTTTGCAGATAAAGGACATGAAGTCATGAGATATTGTGATAGTGGCATACCATTCCCTGTCCGAGTACTAACTAGGAACCAGGCTTCCTCATTTTGAACGAATGGCTCGGGTCTTTCTCTGCAGAAGCCCGATATAGTCGCGGCAAGCCAGGGATATCCTGCATGTTGACTTATCTGTATCTAATACCAAATCATTTATGTGTTCATTGCGCGTTTTCCACCAAGCAATTGGTGGGATAGAGGCCAATCGAACAGATGAACCTAACAACTCTTATCACTCAGCTATCCTTCTTGCCTATCCTGGCCTTAAAGGGGCTTATGAAGACGTATCTGCTTCTGAAACTGTATAATGTTGCGCATTCCTGTGCGGCCTCAAAAACCCTATCCCTGCCTTAGTATAGTGAGCTTGAGACTAACTATCCGACACGAGGAGAATACAAATATCCTCGCTGGTTCGTTGTTGACTTACACAATACAGCCCCACAGTTTTACGATCATTCTCAACAGCTGCAAGCGTGACAACATCAACCGACCCACAATGTCATCCACTCGTATATCAATCACACTCACCTCTCCCTCTAGCGACTTGCACAAACCAGTCATATCTGTCCTCGAAAGACATAGTGGCTCTGAGTACTACGTCTATGAACGCAAAGAATGCTGGCATATTGGTCTTGAATCCCACAGATCACTGATAATCGACTCCAGCGGGGAGAACAAAACAATATCAGTAGCTGGAGAACCAAGCCACCACTTCCCAGTGACGAAGCCACTACCTGATATAGCAAGAGAATTCCTCCATGAGTATTGGGACCACACATCCAAAGTATACGGACACGTTGGGTTCAACTATGCAGCCCATATTCGGGGCCTAAACTACACACCTGGCCAATGGCCCTTACTAGCCTAGATGATACCTCGCATAGAAGTACTCATCGACTCAGACAAAATTACACTCACCGGGGATGACACCAAAGAGGTCCTGGAATTGTGCGCTCTGCTAAAAGAGACATGTCGGTGTCACAACACACCATCCCCCGCTCATGATTTTCAACACGTTGACGTACATGAAAACTCCAGCCAATACAAAACCCTAGTTCAGAAAGCTCTATCACAAATTCAGCAGGACCACTACACCAAGATAATTTTATCTCGACCAGTCAACCTCCAACACCGAGTGAACATGCCCTCAACCTTGCACTGTGGTCGTCAATTCAATACACCCTCTCGCAGCTTCTCCCTCCGCCATGGCGACTACCAAGCCACCGGATTCAGCCCCGAACTCGTCATGTCCCTAGACAAAGGGGTAGTAACCACAGAGCCTCTAGCGGGTACACGCTCCCGCAAAAGCACAGAAGCCGAAATCCAAAGACTCCGACATGAACTAGAAAACGACAGGAAAGAGATAGTCGAGCACGTCATCTCCGTCAAAGAAGCCGTGCAAGAAATCAGCCAGCTCTCCGACAAGCCCGTGGTGGATGACTTCATGTCAGTACGGGTACGAGGCAGCGTGCAACACCTTGGTTCTCGGGTCTGCGGACGTCTATCCCCAGATAAAGATATGTGGAATGCGTTCAATGTTCTTTTTTCATCGATTACTGCGTCGGGTATTCCGAAACAGGCTGCGATTGATGCTATTTCTCGCCTTGAGTCGCAGCCTAGAGAGCTCTACTCGGGTGCTGTTCTGATGATTGAGGATGAAAATACCATGGAAGCTGCACTTGTACTTCGTTCTGTTTTCCAGGATCGTGATCGTCAGTGGATCCAGGCTGGTGCTGGCGTCATTGCAGAATCGGACCCTTCCAGAGAGTTGACTGAGACTTGTGAGAAACTTGCGAGTATTGCGCCTTTTGTTGTGAGGGAGGCGAAGGGATTGGAGAATAGGCTTAATGGGTATCATTGATGGCAGATTTCATATCTTCATTGTAGTGATGCTTGCAAATTGTATGTTAGATTGTCTTACCTACATCCAATAAATCTTTTCCTATTTAATGACCCTCTCATTCCTCTCTTTCCAGTATGAGAGAGAAGTCTAGCCAGAACGCATGCACCATTTCGTCAACCTAATGAACTTGAGTATAACAAGTTTGAGAGCATGATCGAACTACTCCCAACACTGACTCCGATGCATGGAAGTAGAACATCATTTACATATATATATATATATATCATCGAGAGTATACTACAACACAAACCCACATGCCACCTGCTGCAGCTGTAATCAAGTACTAACAATTCATACTATTGAATGGCCCTATGGAAGATTTTATATAACTAAAACAAACCATTGGTCTAGATATAGTAGTAGTAGTAGAATCACAGGGGACTGACTGGAGGATGATCTGAGGAATATACCAATCGCTTTCATGTTCTCTTGCTTAGTAGTAAGAGCAATGAATATATAATACCACCCACGCTTTCAGAGACATCACCTTTACTTGATAAACGCACCAACAAGTCAATATTACACACTCATAGGAGGAGAAATTGCTTATTGTCATTGTAACAAGAGTATTTAGGAACCCAGTTTACGTCCCTGTCTGTCTCTCGTGCGGTCAATATAGACAGCTCAATTTTTATTATACAACCTATATAAAGCTAAACTACTGACTAATGTATTCGCTGTCTGGTATATATTAGAGAAGAAAAAAGGTAAGAGCTGTACAAGCAAGCGTATACCGGCCGTTGAACCCATGTCTATCATGATGACCATGCGATCGAATAAAAAGTATACAAGGTATGCGCGTCCCAGAAGGAGGCGCAAGGTAGAGCAAGATAGTCCGGTCTCCGGTGGTAGCAAGGCTTCAACAGTATCAGCTGGTCATCCACGAAGTGACACGCTGAGCTCCGAATCTTCCCATAAACTGTAGTCCAGTGCTACCCATCGGGAAGTAGCTGACAAGGTACCAGAGCAGGGCAGCCAGCTGAAACACCGACGAGATGAGCGTCAACAGGGTTGAATGAAGCTAGAGGAGAAAAGACGATTAGCAACCGGTATTCCCACTGGTGTTCTTGGTGTGCACGGGCCCGACTGGGGTCTACAGTAGCGCATGCACATCCAACCTGCTACTGTTGCAGGACGATGTGAGAGATCATATTCACGACCGGGGTGGCGGTGCATTATGATGTCATATCGTCGGCTGAAGGCTCCGAGTGTACGCGCACGACCCAGGTATGCAAGATCCTCGAAATTGACAGGTTGGTATGCGATCGCAGAGGCGTATGCTCAGATAGTACAGGCATACACAACATGGTCCGGCAGGGAAGATCCTGGGCAATGTAGCTAGAGCCAAACAAACAGGGGTACTTACTCCGATAGCAAAGTACAAAGTCATGGCGATCGAGCCGAAATAGGCCGCCGTGAAGGGCAGACGTGGTCCCGAGACCAGATGTTTCGCGTAGACCAGGGGTCCCATGAGGACTGCCCATGATAGGAGAAAGAGCAAGGAACCAACCGACCACCTAGTTCAAGAGGTAAAACCGGTTCGATCAGCCACAGATTCACAGGAAGTTCCTTGGCAAACAGTATGGGTGAGGCGTGATGGAGGGTTCAGCACGGACGCTGGAATGTAGTCGGATCGGAGACGCGTGGTGCATAGTCCCCAGCGAGGAGGGCATGACAAGCACTCCACCGCCTCGTGCCCTCTCCCCCCCGGTGGGTGAGCGAAGTAGGGGATGTATTGGGGTCCGATAAAGATCAACGGGGGATCTGTAGCAACTTACAGGATGGCAAATTTGCGGGGTTTCAGTGATAGGACCGGGAATAGGAAAAAGCATAGGAGGAAGCAGACGGCGGCACCAAGGTTGCATGCGATGAAAATGAGCATCCGATCCCATCGACTTACTGTAAAGGGAATGTATGATTAGCATTAGCCAAAACTTAAAAGGGGAGGAGGTAGGGCGGCAAGAAGAAAAATAGAAAATGCGTAGAAGCGCAGAAAAAAGAAAGGAAAAGTAACGGAAAATGGAAAATAGGAAAATTAAACGGTGGATGACAAAGTATAGTCCCATAGGTAAATAGAGAGTAGAGTACATCACTCAGCTTTTCCTAGGGCTTCCGTGGAACCCAGACAGATGCAGGAACTGAGTCTCTGTCACCTGGACTGGGCAGTGCAGCAAATCAAGGAAGAAAGCATCTCTACGGACAATCGGTCATGCGTTCGGAGGACTTACAGGCAAAGAAAGTATCTTCCTCCTCTCGGCGACTTGCGGCGGGTAGGGGAGCTCCTGGAGCTTCATGAGTGGGCAGTTGCAGATAGCCCTCCCCTTGGCCAAATGGATTCCAAGACTGTAACCGTGAGAGGATAGGCGTATTTGACGAGTTATTGCGGGCGGAGAGATCTGGGTCTCGTCGCGACCAACCCAGGGAGTTGACCGAATCGCGGAATGAATTGGTAGCCATGATTGCTATTCGCTTTTGTGCCGGGCCTAGTTACACTCTGGTGGAAGAGGGGCAGGGTGAACGAAATGAAAGCAAGATATTTGCCTTCGGACAATGTTGCTACCGGGGTTGGTGTACACTGCCAGTCGACCACTGGAAGCGCGACACTGCGGTGACAAGGTGAGAAAGGCTCTGCAGGGACTATGCACGACGGAAACCAATATGTGCGTGCAGATGATCTGCAGATATCAATGATGGAGGGGGGGGCTGGCGCTGTAGTCTATTTTTTGTGGGGACTTGTTAATGGTGGTGACTTTTGGAGAGTGGTTGAGGGGATGGGGGGGGGGGGGGGGGGAAAGACGACGGCGAGAGAGTAACCGGCGGTGATAGGATCGAACTAAAGCGGGCCAGATGACTGTTGCGCAACCGGACTAGACTCCCGAGAAGCTTGGGCACGGGACAAACCTAGCGTCCGCTAATAGCAACTTCGGACGTTGGTGGTCCACTGGTGTCTTCTCAGAGTGAAGCTGATAAGCTTGTGATCGCCCTCCTGCCCGATTCGTAAAAGTCGTGTTATCGATAGTAACCTGTCACCAAAGGGGACTGCGCCTCCTGGGGGTAGTCGGCCTATTCTTAGAGGAGGAAATTGCGAGTGCTCCTAGCAGTAGCGCAGACTGAAACAGTATCTCCGAACGGCCGATGTAACAGTTCTAATAACCCAGTGTGTCCCACGAGCTGTAAATCGGGGGTTTAGTCTCCCACCCCGGCGCAAGGAATGCAGAGATCGAACGGCCAATTACCCAGCCGGGAGAGGAGCTGCGCCGACCGGAGAATGAGAGGGAGGGTGGAGGAAGCTGCAAGATGATGACGATGACGATGACGATAAGGGGGTTGAGAGAGCGAGGATGGTAGCTGGCGTAACGCTGGGGCCACCCTAAATTCAAGACAGAGATCGGCTCTACACAGGCTGCAAGATTAGCCAGTCGTCATCTGACTTGGAAGGATAAAAGGAGGAGGAGGAGGAGGTCGAGCAAAAGACGAGAGGGGAAGTCAAAGGAGGGGGGAAGGATATGTGGGTGTGGGTGTGTGTGTGTGGGTGGGCGTTGAGCAGGTGGTCGCGATGAGTGTAGGCAGAACAAGGCACGTAGCCAGAACACCACCACTACCACCACCACCATTACCAGTAAGAGAAATAGAGAGAATACGGTCACATACCAAAGCTCGCAGAAACTGATACTATCTCCGAAACGCAAAAGGATGATTGAGTGTGGTTATCAACAATGGGGGAGCCTCTTTACCCACGGGTGTCGCGATAATTATCGGGGGATGATTGCTTTCCAGCAGCAGCACCGCCCATAATCGCCGTCGCAGTTGGAATGGGAGTTCGTCCCTTTCCTGCAAAGCTGGGGTGGGTTACCCCAACAGCCAATCAGCAAACTCATTCACAGAGACGGTGTCCCGGTGACGGATCTAAACCCAAAACGAGCTGGTGACCCCAGCTGAGCAGTTGCTCAACCAATCACCGCTTGAGATGGCGCCATGGCGGACAGGCTCGATACAATTCATTGGCTGGTTTGAAGACCATGGGAGAGTTCGGCCACACCGCCCATGGGGGGTTAAAACCGTTTGGCGCCTGTTCCGCTGACCAGGTCGCGTCCTTACCATACCGAAACATACTTCCTTCCCTGGACTGCTACTACCAGTACTAGCGCTACTAGTAGATACAGACAGTACTATCAGTAGGTGTCGGTAGCCTACCTACTACTTACTTGCCTTGGTACATTTCGTCGCCTAGGTCAAAACCGTGCCCACCCACTAACTACATGACTAGTCATCTGTAATTGGTGCCTATCTCCAAGAGCAACCAAAAAACCTGTTCAGGATTGTGAAGGTGCGTTGCTCCCTCATGGTTGGCTTCTCAGCTCGTCGAATGAGAAGCCGAGAGACTGTGATTAGACAAGTGGCGCCCTGGAACCCCTTGGGGCTGGCTTCTTTCCTAGTCCAGTCGATCCTGGTTAGAGCAGCCGGGGATGCAGAAGCCTACTTGGACCTCAGTACAATCTCCTCCTATCCATGGTGTGTCTGCATTAGAATGCTTATCACGGCCGATAGCTTCTCAGTTGGGTTGCATCAGGCAACTCCAGGGAGAGACATGTTACGTACATTCGCTGCGTAAAACTGGCTAAAGTCAAAAAACCAGACGCGAATGATTTACCTTTGCGCAGTCCTGTAAATCTCCCATATGCGAGCTCTTGTCTCTTTTAGGCGATAGTAAACTAGCGTCGAGATCAAACGGAACGGTGTTGCCCGCCGGATAATTAACCCCGCCAGAGTCTGGATATTTTCCTGTTGCTACTTTAGAGGAATTCCTCAGCTTGGATTGAAATTCCTGTATCTTTTGCTCCCTCTGTCTCTCTGATATTGAAACTTTAATTCCTGGCCGGGTAGGAAGCTGTTCTGATCCCCATTAGCGTCACAAGTTACTGGATGGATGGACGAAATCTCTCGCCTGCATATTATACGCAGCTAGTAGCTACTGCATTCTAATAGCACCTGCACGTACAAGAGAGTCGGCGGCCAAGCATAGGGGCCGACCAACTCTTGCCATCGCCATGACCAACCATCAGATACATACGTAGTGAGAACTCCCTTGCAGTAACCGTGGATATCGGCCATGCCCTCCGAACCTTGACGGGACGGGACGGGCACGATTTGCGGGAACCAATGCCATTCCTTCATTAGGCTTCCACTTCTGGTGCTGTTCCGGGCTTATCTGTTGATTCCCGCATTCGGCAGAATCGACCGGACTTGTGGTCTGATACCGGTCATCCATTATCATCATTCCACCAGCAGCTGTATGTACGATGGTGTCATCGTTGGGAATGGCGGCGCCAGGTCGCATACCAGATTATTGTCCGCTGGGGGGGGGGGGGGAGGAAGTCTACATAACGATCGGTGCAGGAATTCAGGTCAGTGGGCGTGGTTCATGGTGTAGTAGCTGGTCGGGTCGTGACATACCACCTATCGTGTCTGCGGCACTTCGAACCAGGGTTGACAGGCTAATCTCTGCTGGTGGCTTCTTTCGGGCTATCAGGACTCCCTGATTGATTTGATGCTGCAAGCTGATTGGCAATTTACTTTTGACAGCATTCCAGACGCAGCTCAATTGTTTTCCCACTCGCCGGATCATAAGGCTCCCCACATTCCTGGTGGCTTGTATTTCAAATCATCGAGCATGAAAAGCCAAAAGGCAAATAGTGGAATGAATGGAATTAAATCTTGTCGCGACGCGCGGGTGCGCATAGAGAAGCGCTTTTTCTGAAGACTGCTCGGGATAATGCGAGAAGAATGAAGCCCTTACCCCAAGTGCAGGAAAAAGGAGAAAACAATAGGAAATTAAACCAGCTCCCGCGCTTGGGACGCCGTCGCATTGCACCAACCCCACCCCATAATTCAAAGTAGAAGCCTATCAGATGGCACAAGCTGGCGTACTCTTTCTCGGGAGGCGACAGGATGCACGGTGTCACGGACCGCCTTCTGTGTCAGCCCCAACCTGGAGACGCTCGGACGCCGAGGTGTCTCTTCTGGAAGCCTGACTGCTTCTTCCTGAGGCTCCCAAGGAGGCGGTTCCATGCTCATCTTCGTACTCGAGGTGGACGTGCGCAAATAAGATGAGAAGGAGGGTCTCGATATGCGAAGGAAGCCGACCTTACTAGCCTGACGATACCGTATCCCGGGCAGGTGCCCGGTGTGTGTCTCTCTCCCCAAGATAATGGTGGATGTATACCTCCTAGATACGAGCGGTATGTATGCTTGGAGCTAAACCTAGTGCGATGGATGGACATCGTATTGTGTTCCATGGTAAAGGCAGTGTTTTGTGCCGCTCGTCGGTCCTATTAGCGTGCAGCGATCTTGAACATGACCATCCAGAAGCCTGGGTAGTAAGTAATAGTAGTAGTGATGAACAGAGGTAACCTGGACAGATATCGAATGTGCTGAACAGAAGGAGATCGTTTCCCTCAGTTTCCTTACCACATGGTACGCCACGATCATTCATCCCTTCCCCGATACCCGCCATGAAGCACTCCGGCGGAGAGCCTGGGGAATTAATGATTAAAACTACAATTACCGACAATCTATTTTGAAACACTTAATCCATCCTGAGGAACCCCTCAGTACATCAGCAGTACTAGACTATGATGTCATCGTTCCTTTTTCAAAATTTAAAATGAAAAAGCAAAACCATGATTTTCCAAATCTCACGCTCCATGGTCATTAGTCCGCCCGTCAGGATGAATGATCTGGTATGCTTGGGGCTTGCCCAGCCTGGCATCTGATACATTCCCGAGTGGGTTCCTAAAATCGAGAGTAAGGAAGTATAGCAGGTTGGCTGCTCCTATAGTAGGCGTCGGGGTTGTAAGTCCGACGGCGATAATGATTGCTGTTTTAGCGCCCTTTTTTGGTTTTAATACGATGTAAGTATATGGCGCAACGAGATACTTTGTAAGAAATAGCAACCAACCAGAATCCAACCTGGGATAAGATGAGTGATAATAAACCGGATAACTAACATCTTGCCATGGGGATAGCACCCCTCCCCCTCCCAAAGGCTGACCTGGAGTGAGTCATTCTAGTCTCTCTCTTTTTATTTTTCTTTTAATTATTTTATTTAACCTGGCAAAAAAAGGACAGGTGACAAATATAGTAGTACCTGGATGCTCATGGGATTGAGAGGGGAGGTTAACCTCCCCCATCCGGACGGTGCTACCCTCCTTGATGGATGCTTTTCTGACCGTCTCTCCTACACCTAGTACTTTACCCTACTTACAGTACACCTCCCCTCTCACCCTACTTACAGTACACCTCCCCTCCTGCCCACCAACCACACGCCCCCCTTTCTTCTGCTTGTATTGGTCTCATCCCCCACCATCTTCACATACTTAGCTTCCCACGCCTTAGCTTCATCGCCACCAAGACTTGCCTTTCCCTTCCCTCCTTTTCATTAATTAATAAATTGTATTCATTCTCCTTGTAATTTTGTTTTGCCAGCTATTTTAGTGTTGCTTCCCGTTTCTGATTATTCTTTTTTCCGTATTTAAAAAAATAAATGATATTAATTTAATTCCACACCCTCTACACCAAGCTGAAGAACCGGTTTACGCATGTAATCCCCGTAGATGCTCTGTTAAGCCTCGTCGATTGAGGATCGACGCCCTGCATGACCTTGACCGTGATATATCAAATGAGAGGCTGTGAAGAACGCCGCGAGAGTCTTTTAAAGTCCCCCTCATCCCCTCGTCTCTTCAAGCCTGGGTGTTCTGTTTCTTTTTGATCTTATCTGGAATACTACGACTACTACTACTACTACCACCGATCATACCATCTACCACCTTGAATCTTGGAATCCCGTCGATAGAAGCTGGGACTTCTTCATTTGATGATTGTTGCGTCGCCCGGCTGCGCCGCATTGACTCTCCCGCGAATTGCCTGTTTACGGTCACCGTCGCTCAAGGGTAGTTCCCAGTAACTTGACAGTACAGTCTCTCAGAGTCGCTGAGCACGAACCCCTCACTGTTGCGACATCTCACACCCAACAGGGCACAAGTAAGTAATCACAGCTAAATACCTTGTCGTTTCCTTTGCCCCGGTCCCCTTCCATACTTTTTTCGCATATAAGCCCCTCCTGCCGCTGAGATAAGGCGGCTGGCTTCATAAGCGCTTTCATTGTTACTCCCTTCTCTTGTTTGCTTTTTCATTTCTGCCTGGTCTCTGGACGCCCTGAGCCTCACCTCTGTCTACCTCTGTTATTCTTCCTCTTTCTTTTCATCACTTACCTCCGCGGGGCCATCCCTTCTACTATCACACTGTGCGTCTATGACTGTTGCGCCATCAACTGTACTATTTCTGTCACTGCAACCTGAAGGATATGACTAATATTAATACCTCTTGTGCAGGTCTGTGAAGAAAATCGCTCATACCTGACCCCAGACACATCTAAACCTAGTGAGTTAGTTTCTCTACAATTTCGCATATCGTTCTTGATTTCTCGATTATTTTTGCCCTGCATCATGTTCCTTTGAAGCCTGGTCGCACTGGGGATTGAGGATCCCGCTTGGAGAAGATGCAAGCAAGCCTGAACACACTCTACATCCGATGACGGAGGAAGCAAAGCCAAAAAAAGGAGGGGTATGGGTTACTCCTCATTCCTCCAGGATGTGATATCCGGCAGAGATATTGCCGGGGTTGTCATGCCTTCAACCGAGCTGTGGTCTGGGAAGAGCAACAAGTGACGGTTGCAGCACAGCGCCGTTGGGCTTCAACCCCTGCATGCTCTCTCGGCGGGGGGAGGGTAATACCCACTGATCGCGGGTCGGAGGTCGAACAGTTCGCGGGAAGACAGTGAGCAGGCGCCTATGAGATGCTCCAATTTGCTCCGACATCCCCAAGGGGTTGAGTTACCGCGGGGCAACCTTGGAAGGCTCATTCTTGTCTCACGGACCCCGAGTCGGAGAGCGCTTCCCGGTTGGACTAAAGCGGGGAGGCGGTAATCGGCGAGAAAAGAAAAAGAGGGGAGAGGGGAAGGGGAGAGACATTCTGCATCATCGTCGTGATTATTGTCACACACAGTCACATACGCCATGCCATGTTTATGTCTCGCTTAACAAAAACCCCAGGGCACGCCGAGAGGAAAGGGGAACCACGGGGAGGCCGAGGGGGTGGGATCGCAGCGGGTGGCAGATTTCCGGGGCAAGTCGATGGCATCTCCACACTTTCACACTTTCCACTGCCACGCCCGCATACTGCCACAACTGACCGCTTGCCCCCAGCAGTCCCACCGCCCGGGGAATGCTCAACACGATCGGTTTTGCCTCTCTTTCTCCTCCCTCTTTAGTTGCCCCCCCACGGTGCCTGTTTCACTTTCAGCCCATCAAGTGCATCCATCCATCCACATTCATCTCTCGCCTCCTCCACTCCCTTCCCCTCTTCCCATCCCAGATTCTCCCAGCTTCTGTCGCATATACCCCAGACCCAACTCGCATCATCATCATCATCAAAACAGTAATTCTCAGGAAGCGCGCTTTCCACCCCCCCCCCCCCCCCCACACACTCTCAACCTCTTCCGGTGTGCAAGTACAAGGCTCCATCTCAACTCATCTTGTTCGTTCCCGTGGATCTTCCTCACTCTCAACTGTGACCGGCTCCGACTGCTCTTATCGCTTCCCTTTTCCCTTACCCTTTTTGCCCTTTTCCCCTCCCCCATTGTTCCAGCCCATCGCCTCCGCGGCCCCATCTGGCCGCCTTTTCACGCTCTCACTCTCTCTCTTTCTGTCTCCCCTTTATTTTACCTCGCTTATGGCCACGCAATTCTGTTTCCCTCTTTGACCTCTTTTTCCTACTTTCTATTTTCTTATTTCCCCAGCTGCTACTTTCCCCATTTCCCGGTCGCTTACCACAGACCTCATTGCGCAGTCTGATCTTCCTCTGTGCGGTTCGCAATCAACGAGGCAGCCTATTGGGTTTCGGACTCCGCCCACGATAGTGGCATTTTCGGAGGCGTCCGCTTTCGAATCTTACCTTTCCACCACAAGTTCGCCCACCGCGACCAGTCAAATCCGATCGCGAACTACCCCTCGCATTCGCCTTGAACTCATCCCGGGTTCAGCACCAATCGTATCTTTGCCTCATCCAGGAAGCGTCTACCGCGCAGTTTCTTGCTCGTCAAGTACACATTCCCACTCTTCTGGTTGGTAACTCCGTACCTTCCCTGTTTTGTGGTGGTCTGAGCCACCTCCTGTCTCTCTTCTCCCTGAAATTAGATCGTGGCTCATTGTAGTGTCGCCTTCTCCCTCTATTTGATTGAGCGCTAACGGGCACTTGTCCGATCTGTCAGATTTTCTCCTCGCCACCCTCGCAACTTGCCCGAACTCGTTGATGAGTTTAACTCACCGCTTCTATCACCGGACCTCTTGACTATTTTGCGAAGAGGCTAAACCTTCACACGAGGAGCATTTCTCGCTCCAAATTCAGCTTGGGGTTTACTGTGCTCGAACCCCCTAGTCCCACAAGCATCAGCGAGTTCGATCTTGAACTGTAAGACTCCCCTGGAAGACGCAGTCGGCTTTCTGCCTGAGTGCTTGCTTAAGCTTGCTGTAAACTGGCGGAAGCGAGCGATTTCATCAAGAACAAACCTGACAAACGCAGCAGTGATCAGTATTTCTTCATGATGTCACAGTCGAACTATATGTCCAATCAGTTTGGCAACCCCAACGAGGGGGTTGACCCGTCGGAGCTTAGTATGCAAAACGGTGGATTCATGTCCTACCCATTTACGTCGCAGCAGAACTTCAACTTTGGAAATTCGGGTATCGATACAGATGAGTTGTTGGACCTGGAAATCAACGGACAGAATGGCATGCAGCAGAACTTCCTCCAGGACCAGCATTCGGGTGCCGGAATTTCCATGAGTCATCCGGGGCAGATGTCTCAGATGTACTCCAACACGCCGGATGGAGCTCCCATGAACAGCCCGTTCATGCACAGCTTTAACTATGACCACTTTCGATCCATGAACCAAAACGGCCAGCCCGGCTCTCATCTGCAAAGTGGATCCCAGTTCGAACAGAGCTATCTGGCTTCCAAGGGCCGCCCGAGTTTGCAGGCAGTGGACCGCGCTTCACTTGATGCGCGCAGTCCGATGACTCCGAAGACCCCAGCTCTTGGTGCATTGACCCTGGGAACCCCAGAATCTGGAAGTTTTCCTACGCAGCCCATCCGGACTGGCCTGCAGCATCGCCACCAGAAGACCCTGTCCAACCAATGGGACGGTACGCCAGGTAGTGCCCATTCTTTCGTGGAGTCCCCAATCTCATCCCCCGGCCACCCCCACCACGCGGGAATCTCGGAGATCCTCAAGTCTGGTAAACATGCTTCCTTGCCGGCCAAGGTTGATACGCACATGCCAGGCAGTGCCCAGGACCTAGAATCCCAAGAGGCCAAGCGACGCCGTCGGCGGGCCTCCCATAACCTGGTTGAGCGCCGGCGACGGGACAACATCAACGAGCGCATCCAGGATCTTTCCCACCTCGTTCCCCAACATCGCTTGGAGGATGACAAAGTCCGGAAGCAGCTTGTCAACAACACAGCAATGTCTGCCACTGGAGCCACCCCCAATGCCGCAACATCTTTGCTGGCTGGAGGCAATGGCCGCCGGGCCACTGCGGGTAACATTACGATGGGTCTGCCGATCGAGGAGAAGGAGAAGGGCCCGAACAAGGGCGACATTCTGAACGGTGCTGTAGGCTGGATGCGTGACCTAATGTGGGCCCTACATGTTAAGCTCCAGCAGGAATCGGAGCTGGCTGAAATCATCAGCAACTTGGGTGGAACTTGGCCATTCGAGCAGACCGAAGAAGAGAAGCGGATGAGAACGGAGATTCTCGATGCTTTGGAGAAGAACGACCCTAGTTCGTTCACTTATAGCAGGGCACCCGGAAGCGGGCTGCGAGTACCGAAACATACGAACATGGCAGGGGACTCTGTGGCTGGCAATGGGGCTTTGAGCCCCCAGAGCCTGAGCCCCCCGTTCAACGGCAACGGCGGTAGCAACGGAGGCTCCGGGCAGGCTCAGTACTGGAGCAGCTCGGGTCATGCGGGCATGAGCTTCAAGGAGGAAGACGAGTATGCGATGGAGATGAACTAGATACATTTCCGCTAACTATCGCTCGAGCTCTCATTTCTTCAAACAAACGCATGTCATGAGCTATTGCATACAAGGGCGTCAAACGGACGGGTAGTTGACCGGCGTACACGGAAGCCTTATCATGCCATCGAGGCTAAAGGGCCAGTTGAACTTTCTTTTCGTCGGTTGTTTGATACTTCTCGCGTGTGGTTCTCGCTATACTTGCCTGGGATTGGCTGTCTCGGATTCTTATTGTCTTTATCTTTATTTATTGTTTAATTTCTGGTGGGACTTTACTTGTTGAGTTGAGTGTCTATGTGCTTGTCTTGTGAATTTCCAGCTAGCTATCTTGGGTTGCACGTTTCTTGTTGTTCTTTTGCGCATAATGGTGAGCAAGGTCGGAACACGACATGTCTTGCGTCATTTGGCTTCTTTCCCTTTTACATCGATACCCTTTTCCCATTGTCCCGGTTTCACAGTTTTCGACTTTCCTACTTCATCCTTAATATCCTTTTTGGCTATTTTGACCCCATTTCGGATGTCATTTACGGCTGCTATCTATTTTTGATTTAAATTACATAGCATGATTCATTGATACAATGGTGCATTCGGTGCATGCAACTTTACTCTCTACTCAATGCTCATTTTCATATGATTTACAATGGAAGTTACTACAATCATTGGCCCTGCCACAGGCAATAGAAGCCTAATCATCAGCAGTAGATGGATCACCACGTGTCCTGCACGCTATCGAACAGGCACATGGAGTGTTCTAGACCCCATTCCCTAAGAGTCTAATCAGCAAATGATAGTAGCCCAAGGGTATCTGATGTCTATCGTAGCGCCCGCCATCATGCAGTTCCCCGGGGACGATGATTGCCCGACTACTGTAGGTACCAATCCTGGTCTCACCAGGATGGACCCATTCCATGGGTCCACACATACATACATTAGACAGACATATCACATGCATTTCTTTCTTTTCCTCGTTCCTCATTGCTTATTCTCACCGAGTGCATACAGCTAGCCACTGTTGCATGGTACCTACATACATACTACATGAATAGTATGGATCTAGTAACATTCAATCAATATATGCCAGTATCTACAATACCATCTCAAAAGCAAATATTGCAAAGGAAAGGGGAAAGGAAAAAAGGGGGAATACTTTCAAATTCAACATGAAATGAACAACAACAAACAGACTCTTCATACCTTCACTCTCTCTTTTTCTCTGTCCCGTCTATTTCTATTCCTATCCCCTATCTCTAGTAAAGTAGAAATATAGAAACTAAACAAGAAAGAATTCATTCCAAAAAAGGGAAGAGGATCTTACTCGCCCCTCATATTCCTAAAGAAGTCCATGACTCCCGTAAACACAACAAGAAGGATACCACCACCAGGACCCAATCTCAGCACCTTGGGCAAGAATCCCTTATACAAAGCAGCGAACCCTTCCTCCTTCATGACGGTTCCAACGGCAGGCCAAGCCCAGTTGTACTTGGGCACTTGGCCGGGAACCTTCGAGGTGTTTTGAATACGGGACTTGACGACGTCCATGGGCGTGTTGAGAATCGTACCGGCCGTACCACCGATCGTACCCGCGATCAAGTCATTGCGTGTCTGCTGGCTCTTGTTGCCCGGCTCGGCGGCAGGGAGCTGCGCGCGCACCTGGAAGATACAGCCGAAGTAACCCGAGTTCCAGAGAATGTGGCGCCACAGGGTGGATTCCAGACCGTTGTACATGGCGAGGGGTCCCTCCGCGGCAACGATCTTCTTCACGACGTCCAGCATGCCGTTGTATTTGCCGGCCGAGGCGCGGTCCTGCAGACGGATCTTGACCAGCTCGAAGGGCACGACGACGAACGACTCGGTCGCTCCCGCCGTCGCTCCGGTCAGGATCGCCAGTGACTGTGTTTGCTTCTCGGCGCCGAACAGGTTGCGGTAGAAGGCGCCCCAGCTGTCGTTGGCGGCGAATTTGGTCGCACGCTTAGGCGCTTCCATCAGGATGGGGGCGGAGATACCGCGGTACAGGCGGGAGAAGCTGTTATGAGGGGAGGTGGGTTAGTTTGGATGTGAGGGGGTGGTTGGGGGGGAGGGAGTTAGTTGGCGTACCCCTCGTTCTTGACGATCTTGCGCAGGCAGTCGAACATGCCATTGTAGTATTCCTCACCGGCGACCGCGGTACCCTTCTGGAGTTGACTGAGGGTGGGATAGGTTAGTGGGTGATTGCAATTGGGGAGAGATAAGAGAAGCAGAGCTTACACTCGAGTCTTGACCACGTCCAAGGGGTACCTGGGGGGGAAGGGATTAGTATTGGCTGATTGGATTGTGTCGATTGAGGGTGGGAAATGCGCACATAACCAGAATCTATGGCAGAGTTAGTCGCATGCTCCGGTGAAGTGGCAGCGGGATCACACCATAACGTACCTCGGACACACCGGCGACGGCACCGGCAATGAATTGGTAGCCGAAGGGCAAGGGCTTCTGGGTGTCGTTGTTCGACATGGTGATGAATTGGCCAAAAGTAGGCGTGCAGACGAAACAACAGACGGGGGAAGACGAGTCGGGAGAGGGGAAGAAAAGAAGAAGAAAGAGGGAAGAAGTGATGGAGAATGAGATTATCGAGGGAGGAGGCCGCAGTCGGAGAGGGTCGGGGACTCACCGGGACGTCGCCCGATCGGGTAAAATGCCGCCCCACGTGCCGCCCCACGGGGCTTTTTGACGCTTACTTATACCTGCCACCGCATTCATCGCTTCGTTAGTTATCACATTGTCATTGTCATTGTCATTATCATTTCGCTATGCATGCTCTCATGATCTACGTATCGAATCATTTTTATCATAACGCCAGGGCCACCATCATACCCATGCCCATCACCCCCCACTGCTGCCGCAATTGATCACTCCCGCTAGTGGCCTGCTCTTTGGCCACGGTCTCCGTCGCCGTTGACACTGCCGTACAGCTGGTCCCGCAATGGTATCCCGACGGACAACAACCTCCCCCGACGGATTGGGCGCAGCTGAACCAGCCAGTTGCGCATCGCCCGGGCGTGCTTGTTGTTGTCGTGGATGCCGTCGTCGTGGCCACAGGGACTACAATTGTTACTCCGTCGCTAGTGAAGGTCGTCGAGGGCGTTGCCGGGCAGGATGTTGTGTCGCAATCGCGGCCGGTTCGGCAGCATCCTCCATTGTAGACGGCAGAGCAGGCGTAGAACCCGGTTGGACAGACTGATGCCGTACTGGTCGTCGTGGTCGTCTTGGAGTTCGTGGAGGTAGATACAGTGGTAGGTCGAGAAGGAGGCACCAGATCACCCGTGGTTTGCGTCGCAATGGTTTTAGGGATGGTGTGTGTGGATGTCGATAGCATGACGGTTGAGCTTACCGTGATCGTGATTGTGAAGACGCGCATACCTGAGCTGTTAGCCTCAGTAGCGATATAGAGTAGGGGGATTTTCAGTTGATGCAGGTTACTTACATCCCCCGGTGACACATTCGTACCCTGGGATACAGCATCCACCACCCAGAGACGACGAACAGCTAGAGTATCCGTCCTGGCACGATCCAATTGTCCCCGAGCACGTCTCTCCCTTCGGACAACAGCCTACGTCACCAGATCCTGTGTCGTTGACCAGAACGCACGTGTCGCTTGTACTGCAGCAGCTTTCGGGCCGATCTATCGACGAGCATCCGTAGGTGCCGGAAGGACATTTGAATTCTCGCCGAAGAAGCGGTGAGAAATGTTCACTCCACCCGCGCCGTTCGACCTCAAGGTCGCTCGGGTAGGAAGGTCGAAAGGGATATGAGCGAGGTTGAAAGTCGACCTTCTCGGTTGTGTCGAGATTGTAAGGTTGTACTTGCGACAAAGAATCGTTGGTGTTTGATGTGTTGCCTGCTGTATAGGCTTCGTCAAAGAGCCAGTAGTCGAGGAAGAATTTCTCGCCTTCATCGTCGGTCATCTTATGAACTCCGCGAACAGGCTTCTGAGATAGGTATGACTCGATAAAAGCATTGTGCTGGACGATCGAATCCGTATCCTGGGAGTCGTTGGGAATAGATACATTGCTTGCGAAGGCTTCTCCTGCGATTGATGGGCCGAGGATGCAGGCCAGCAAAGGTATTGACAACATGAGATCGTAGTTACTAGGACTGAGTCATAGTCAGCGCACGAAACATTTCCAGGAATGAAGTCGCACAAACATAAGTAGTATATATTATCGTCTCCCGAAAGGACGTTATCGGAAGAGCTCCGTGATAAGTCGACCGAGAAGGTGACAAAATATAAACGACCGGGATCAACTGCAGATTATACCGGCACTAAATACACGAAGCACTAAGCATGAAACTAACAGTCGGGGGGCAACCGACTCTCTCCTCTCCGCCCAAAGACAGTGTGGCTGGGAAAGAGTGGGAACAACAATCAAGAAGGCGACGGGGGGGCCTCCACCGGTCCTGATTGGGAAATAATGCCAATAAGGTGAAAATAAATGGGTACCTGATTGTGCCGGCAGTATTTCACATTCACCGCTTTTCATCATGGCGGTGGGCCCCCCCGTTCCATGGGAATCAAGAAAGTGGAGAGAGAGTCTCAGCTCTATTCCATCTTGACAGCTGCCCGTCCACGGATCAGCTTATCATTGGATGATAGAGAAATGTTGACTGTTGGAAATTGGAGAATGCAACTGTTGGCCGAACTAACTATAGAAAGGAGTGAGGAGGGCTGAGAAGGTGCGCGGGTAATGGCAAGCAATATAGATCCAACATAACCCATGTTACTCCCTGCACAGCGCCATCTACTGGCGTCCCGATTAGTGGGAGGGCGCTTGCTGCTCACAATGGCAGGGATTGCTACCCCCCATCTCATCCCAGCAATGGTTCTTTTAACGCGGCCTGTCCCCCTCGACTTTTTTCTCTCATTTCATCTTCTCTCTCATCACCTCTCTCATTCTCAATCATGGAAGATTCATCGTTTGAATACCCCAGCGACATTCTCTACACCCAGGAGCCTCTCTCGGGATACAAGTTTGGCGGATATCATCCCGTCCGTATCGGTGATACTTTCAAAGATAACCGCTACACTATACATCACAAACTCACGTGGGGAGGTTTCTCCACCGTCTGGCTTGCCCATGACAATTTGTGCGTCACAAATACCCTTCTGTCCCATTCCACATGAATAAACACTAATAACTTCAAAAGGCGACACCGATGGGTCTCCTTGAAGATCAAAACCGCGGACACATCGTACAGTTCTCAAGAACTCCAAAACCTCCAGCAGCTGGAGAAGATTGCCGCTCCGGACGATCTCTCGTCCAAGTACATTCTCCACCTGCTGGACGCTTTCATCCAGCCTGGCCCCAACGGCATCCATCAATGCCTGGTGTTTGAGCTGATCGGTCCTACCATCGATCGCATCATCACTGACTACCGCGAGCTCTCGGATTCCCTTGATCCACAGACCATTCTCCGCTTGTCGAGGCAGCTCCTCAAAGCTATCGAATTGGTCCATAATGCGGGGGTGGGGCAGATTGGTAAGCTCCTACTTTTATTCAAGCCTTGAGTGTCCTCTTAACCAAGTCAAACCAGACATCAGCGGCAGAAATATCGTCTTCAGCGGTAGGAATCTGTCCTATGCATCGGAGAAGATTATCTTTGCGGTCTTTGGCTCGCCCGAGCATGAGCCAGTGACTCACCTCGATGGCACTCCGCTGCACAAAGGCTTCCCAGCGGCTCTGTTTGGACCGGTGAGTTGGGAGGACTGGCTAGAGGAGTTTGCCGAGGAGCTTCGCATCTTCGACCTCGGAGAGGGCTTTGCACAGGAAGAGAAGTCGAGGATACTCGCGCAACCGGGTCCTTCGCGGGCCCCGGAGTTGATTTTCACGGGAAGGTCTGACTACAGGACTGACTTGTGGCATACGGGCTGCATGGTATGTGGATTGTCACGATAAATCCTCGAAGAAGTGATATTGACAAGATTGCAGCTGTTCTTCTTCGTGTTCGGGACATACCCCTTTGACTCGGACGTAGAAGATATGGTAGTGGTCGAGCAGATGATTGACCTTCTGGGGGAGTTACCCCAGGAATGGCAACCTATCTGGGACCGCATGCGAGCGGAAGCCGGAGACATGATGGATTTCCAAGGTGAGATATAATAACCACTGCTTATTAATGCACCTCCTCATCAGCATGCTGATCTCCAAATACTAGGTGACGAGGTTTTCACTCTGGAGGACCGCTTCGATAAGGAAGTGGCCGAGCCAGAGCTTGCTCCTCTTATCCCGATTATCCGCGCATTGCTGGAGTTTCGGCCTTCGGAGCGCATTACAGCTCCGCAAGCCCTTGGTCTCTTGGGAACCCAGGGACAGTGAACGAAGTCATGAATTTGAGCTAGCTAGTCAATTTAGCATTTGCTGCAGAGAAGAGAATATATATACGTTTTTGTAGTTTATACAATGATTGGTAGTAAGAAAACATGACCAAGAAGAGTATTGCCAGTAGCACCCATCTGCAGTATCAACCCATCCTTCTAAGAATTAGGTGGCTCTCTCAGCAAGATGAACTTTCACCACCGTCCCATCAATAGGCTTCGCGGTGACCTGCATAGTCTGGAAAACCAAAAAGTAAGCCACCCTTCTATCAACTTGGGAAATGAAAAAACGAACGAAAAAAAAAAAAAAAAAAAAAAAAAAAAAAAAAAAAAAAAAAAAAAAAAAAAAAAAAAACTTACATTAAACAATTCCGTCTCCACCTCATACTGCCCCTTAGCAGCATCCAAGATAGGCGCTCCAGTCGCATCCCGCGCAAGTGCGCCCACCCCCACCTTCTCGAAATCGAAGCGCCGAACCGTACACGCCAGGATTACCCGGGCCTCCAGGTTGGCTAGCTCTTGACCAATACAGTTGCGCGGGCCGCGCTCGAACGGTCTCCACGCGCTGGCGGGAACATGGGCGCTTGCGACCGAACCATCCCCATCCCCCTGATTCTCCGCGCTATCCGGCATCAGTCCTAGACCGGTATCTGTATTTCCCAGCCATCGCTCGGGGATGAATTCATCTTTTGTCAATCCGTACACTTTCTCCTCACGATGGACGAGTGTCGCGTTGAGATAGATGACCACTCCGTCTAGGCATAGCGTCTTACCGTCTGGTAATTGCACGTTGAACCCAGAACCTGGGGGCATGTATCTCGCTGATCCGGATGGAGGGTACAGTCGCAGAGTTTCCTTGATCACAGCAGAGGTATAGGACATCCGCTTTAGCAGGTCATCTCCGCCTGGGGCAAGGAGCTTCTCTTGCACGGCTGCGGGGGACGGGTCTGGGCCGAAGAGGTCGTCTAGTTCGCAGCGAACTTTATCCAGCACGCGTGGGGTGCGACTGAGGATATAGAAGGTCCACTGCAATACGACACTGGTGGTATCGTGACCGGCGAAAAGGAAGCTTTTGAGCTGGTCGCATGTCTCCTGGATGACTTGGGTATTCAGTTGGTCGATGTCCTGTAAACTCAGGGAG